GGAGGGGAGGGAAGAGAAGAGAAGAGAAGAGAAGAGAAGAGAAGAGAAGAGAAGAGAAGAGAAGAGAAGAGAAGAGAAGAGAAAACAGAAAAAGAGAGAGGTAGCAAGAAGGGAGAGAAGAAACTCTGCCTGCCTTTCCATCCACATCAAACCTACTTCCTTCAACAGACACGAGTCTGGAAGTTGATAAATGTTCACTAAGGCAAGGAGGAAGAAAGACAACAAAGAAATTGGTAGGTACTGCAGACTCATAAGAGAGGAGAGGAGAGTGGTCACATAACCACTATGTCAAACACGATTCGGATGCCAAGGAGGATGTAGCAAAGGGTGGTTCACTATTAGCAGCTGAAGTCATGGGTCATGCACGAATGGGACATGCCTGGGTCAGGCTGTGCACAGGTGGGAAAGTAGAAGCCAGACTTTAAGAAAATAGAGAGGCAGACTGAGGTGACAACATGGTCTGTTCTTAAACTAGCATTTTTTTTTTAAATGTGGAGAGAAGTGCCGGTCAGGAAGGTCCCTGAAGGCACCAAATAATGCAAGCTACTGCCAGTGCTGTTTGCCCACTAGCAGGGGGTGGTAAGACCTTACTGCTGAAGACTTCTCACATTTTGGCCACTGGACATAGACAAATCAAGCCGTAACTGAGTTGGGTGCTTCCTGCCTGCTGGATAGTCCCCGTAGTGTTGGAAGCTGCTGTTGAGGCCGCAGGGGAGACTTCCATTAACAGTTACCCCCGGCCGTGGACCCTGAGCATTACACTATCGGCTCTCCACGCAACATGTGCACCCTGGTGCGACAGCGGCATGGCTGCTATCCGGGTACAACCACTTCCTGGTTGGATTTTAGCCCCACCCCCCAGAACAGAATTCATATCTGCCACTGAAAACCTGGCCAAAAGCCCATGGCTAGGGAAGTCATATGCCCTGGTAGGGAAGTCACATCCGGGGCTATTGTTTTGCTAACTGGGAATGATGCGCTTCCCAGCTTTGCCTTCTGAATATTGCTTTGTGCCCATATAGATCAGTGCTGCTGTGGAAAGAGAGGCTCATTTTCTAAGTGGCCAACAGTTTTTGGGAGACCCAGAGCTGGTCAAGTGCTAAGAATTAAGGTGACTGTTAAATGCTGAACCCTAACTGGGCGATCTGCAGCAACCCCTGAAAGACTCAAGGAACACAGTAGAGGTGATGGAGCGTTTTAGAGTGGCATCTTCAGGCATGGCATGGCCTGTGTGCTCTTGAACTCTCAGCATCCATGAGCACATAAGACCTACACGAGGTTGAGCCTGTGGGCGTTCTGTCAAGGAGAGGAGGAGGATCGGGAGGCCACTTCTCCCTGAGAGTAAAAACGCAACTAACGGTGCTGGAAGGAAAAGACATTTTCTTTGGTGGTAGTAGAACCACCCATTTTGCCTGTCATAACTACTGCCTGTTGGGGTTCATTCTCGGAGCCTGGTTCTCTGGCCTTCCAGCCAATTCTACAAACCTAAGTATACCCAGAGGCCTGCCTCCAAGAGAACAGGCTAACAATGCGACCATCACAAAGAGGAAGTGATTAGAAAGGAGAAGGACAGTGAAAGTAGGAGCAAAGAAGAGACGAGACGTGGTTACTGTGGCCGAATATGATGAAAACACAAGAGACATCGTGTTGAAACCCACTGCTGTGGTTAATTGAGATGAAATATACGTTGCCTTAGGGTGTGGAGATAGACGGAAGGAAAGATGCACAAGAAAGGTTGCTTATGACAAATGGACATTTGTATTTGAGACCAGTATGCAAGAATTGGTAAAGGCAACCGACAGTTGCCGGGGAAAGAGTCAAATCTTATCCTAGCCAGGGCGGGAGGGGTGGCTAATTTACAAAGAGCTGTGGGTGGAGGTGGTGGCTGTGAGGGAGAAGGGCATGAGGACATGCAAATCCTAGAGGGGTCCCTTGATTTAGTTTAACTCATGTGAGATATTATCACGAACAGGTATTATACTATGGCAAGCATAGGCATGAGTAGGGAAGGTCCCCTGATTTCTGGGAGTTGATGAGCTCGGGCCCATTAGATTAACTGACTGCTAGTGTTCGTACATCCTTAAATGTGTTAGCATTTTAATATTTTAAACTGCAAATATCAGTACAAACAAGCGAGAATTTAATAAGACCAAACAAGATGCACATTGTTATGGGAGCCTGGGGCGAAAAACAAATAATTCCAACTTCAGGGCTTCAAGGACAAGGCTGAATCCTGAAGGACAAAGGAACACGAAGGCAATGAACAACATTTGGCTGAAACCACCCCCCACACACACACACACACACACGGCATTAGAATACGTTTATATGGCTTGGGGATTCAACTCAGTGGTAGACAAGCTTGAACAGCAAGTACAGGAGCCTGAGCTTAGTCCTTGGTACCACAAAGGAAATAAAATGGATGTTTATTCTTCCCCTTTCTTCGAGTTTTCTCCATCTATAAGACATACCTATCTCAATAAGAGCTGAGCCCTATGTTCATATTCCCTGCCATGTCAAGAATAGACACGGGGGCACAGATTCGGTGTGTCAGCTGAACACACTTTCCCGGGTCTATGGTGTGGTTTTGCCTGTGTCGTGTCTACTCCCTGACGAGGTTCATTCTCAGAGCCTGGTTGCCTACCCTTCCAGAAATTCTCCAAACCTTCTGAAAGGCTTTCAGTAAATTTCTTTGCATTTTAAGTCAGCTGGACTTTCTGATGTTCGCTTGCGTACGTCCTGACTCATACCAGTGTGGCCACAGGAAGCCCACATTCCAGCTTTGAGGAAGAGCTTGGAGAATGTTTGCGGTGGTTATGTCAGTAAAACCGAAAGCCCTCTATGAAAAGGGATTTGATATAGGAAATGGGAGGATTGCATCGTTTTGGGAAAGTACAGAGGGAGAAAGGTCAGGGGAGCTTCTCCTGGAATTTAAGAAATGAAAGACGTGTGGGCTGCAGAAACCACTCAAAAACTTGTCATTTCAGGCCTGTGCTACCCAGGTGGAAATCCTAAGTGGGAAAGGCCAAGCTCATTATCCTAGTGTTGGCAACCCTGCCATTGAGTGCTAGAGGCCTAGGAATGCTTGACAGGCCAGAGACTCACGGCCCAACCCACGAGACGTGAAAGACTATTGTTTCGGTGACCTGTCTTGCTTAAATTGCTGCTTTCCAAGACTGCTGGGGACTGTCACAAGTGGTCATGACTGGAGCGCGTCTTCAGTTCCAGGTGTCATGGTCTTCTCCAGCTGCTGATGAGTTCTCAGGGTGATTGTAAAGAGTCCATACCAACCAGGCCGCTACAAGGATGGTCCACCCAGCTGCTGAGAAGAGACTACCTGGATGATTGACAGGGTGAGAACCACACAGGGCGAGATCCTGAGATGGTCAGCATGAACTCAAACAACCCACCCTTGCCAGTTTTAATCATGTACAGAAACATCAAAGGGGCATTCACAACAAGAGCAATGAACGCTTAACACACAACCAGTCATTCTAATAATATATGACCCTACTTAGTAATAGGTAAGTAGTTAGCAGAGGTTAACTACCCATGTCCCAGGGAGAGCTGAGCCCCTCTACTCTACCACAAAGCTACTACTGATGCCAGCTCTTGGCAGCACCAACCTATCTGAGTCATGTTTCCTCACCAATCTGCTGCCGGTGCCTATGTGTTTGACCGTAGTTACACCTGCCCAGTGCCCCTCCCTGGAGAATCCCAAACTGAAACTCTACTGGCAAGGCAACTGGAGAAATGCGTAATTTAAAACTTTCCAGTCTTGCCAGAATGGTTGTGACTGGCAACATGGTACTCGGGAGAATGAGGTAACTGGAGGCTAAAGGGCCTGGCTTCATCTCCCTCCTCTCCTGCATCCTCCTCACTGACCTACTCCCCTCTGTTTGCCCGACCAAGCACTTCATTTAGACTTCCAGCATTTTGAGCCCTGCTTTCTCTAATCTATCATGTCTCTGCGTCTTCCTTCAATCTTCAAATTCCCGTCACCTTGACTTTGAACTATTGCCTCCCTAACTTGTACTAAAGCCCAACATTATGTCGGCCCACAAACTTCATTCTTCAGTCCAGGCTGGCAGGCTTCATTATGGGTGGTGGTGGTAGTGGTGGTGGTGGTGATGGTGGTGGTTGTGGTGGTAATGGTGGCGGTGGTGATGGAGGGGGAACTCAGCACCATTCAGTATGAAATCTTCAGTATTTTATAGCCTGCCATGAATCCCAAGGGAGCTACAGCTCACATTTTCCACAACTGCTACTTAAACCTTCACTAGATGCCCGTGGATTAATTCCGCCCCAGCTCCTCCTCACCTCACACTCTCTAGGCAATGGCCTGACTTACTCCATAGAGAAAATGAGTAACAGACACGTGGTGTTTTCACATCCTCCCTCCTCCCCATGTCAGATCTCCATACTCATCCGCGGCTGCCTTTAGTCTTAACACTGTCTCTCTGCAGTGGAGGAGGCAGTCTCCTCTTCCCGCTTCCGGCTTAGCTGCCATGGATGCCCCTCACCCTGGGTGAGTTTCTTATGCTTTATCATCTCCCTTGCACAATTACTTCAAAGCACACCCCTTTCTGCCCACCCCGTTCTCCAAGTGGGAATGTTCTAGTCTTACACATCATGAAAATATTTTTTTAATGGGATAAGGATAGTAAGGAGGACGCTTCAACCCTCCACGCACCCACTTTCCCTCCTCCCTGTTCTCATTTTAACAGCTGCCTTATGCTCTAGAAGATCACTGATGCTCACTTCGGATCTAATGTCATTCCACATCTCCGACAACTTCACACTGGCCCACGGTGCACGTCGCTCAACCTTTGCGATGACCAGCCTGAACTCAAGTTCCGCTAGAATTGCTTCTCTCGCTGTGCGACCTAGAACAAGCTCACTCTGTATCTAGGCTGGGAGTGGCCACAACGTCTAAGCGTCGGGGGGAACGTCCTTAGCACACTGGCTGCAGAGTGTAGCTGTGAATGCAACCTGTTATCATTTTGGCCCAAACCTTTAACACCTCCTGCCTTTCCCCTACTGTTGAACCTTCCTCTGACTTTCAAGCTGATAAAGCTGATGAAGAATTGTTTCTATTCTTAAAACAAGATTTGTTTTAATCTCTTCAAGGTGTTTCAATCTGCTGACAACTCCTCCTTAAATATAGTATCCAAAGGAGGACCCACATGATGATCCACTTGGTTGTAAAATGAAAAACTCACAACTCCTATTGAATGAAAGATGTAGTTTTATATTCTTTCTCACTCAAAAGGAGAAACAAGGCTGCTGAGATGGCTTAGTGCATATGGGTGCTTGCTGCCAAAGCTGGCAGCCTGAGTTCGATCCCCAGGACCCACAATGCAGACGGAAACCTTCTGAATCCTACAAGTTGCCTTCTGACCTCCACATGTGTACTATGGCATACACATTAAGTAATCAAAATTGTAAAAAAAAAAAAAAAAAAAAAAAGTCAAGGAAAAAAAAACCCATAGAGTCGGGAATGGTAGCACATGCTTGTAATTCCAGCAGTTGGAAAATAGAGGCAAAAGAATCAGGAGTTCAAATCCAGTCTCAGCTACATAGCAAGTTTGAGACCTTGTCTCAAAAAGGAGCTGAAGAAGGAAGAAAAAAAATCATTTTACCTCTGTTTAAATTTACAAATTTATTTGACCTCACAAGCAGTGACAATATGATTATTGTGACTAAATTCTCGTATGTGAATCCACTGATAACGTCATTGTAAGTCCCTAACAAAATGGGAAAAGAAGCACCTTAGGGAGGGGAAATGAATTTTGTTCATGTCTAAATTTTTAATGAACTGTTGTGTTAGCAATTGCTCTATGGATTGAAAATACACACATATAATTCATGGTTTAATATACACATATTGGCTGGGCATAATATCTATGGGGATGGCTGACCTAAAGCATGTCCCTGCATGTGATGGTCCCCCGTGGCTTTCCTCCCACAGTCTGGCTTTTTACTGTGGCTACCTGCATGACTCCTCTCTGCTTCCCCTTTCTCTGGCATGCTAGCCTTCCCCAGCTTCTTCGTTGTCTGGGCATTCCTGGAACTTTACTTCCTCTGAAGGAAAAGGGCTTCAGTCTCTGTCTTCAGGACAGACCTTTTCTTAGTTTGGAAAGGATTGGTGATTTTTAATATTTTTTTTCAGATTATAATATATTTACACCATTCCCTCTTTCCTTGTCCTCCCTGCAAACATTCCCACATGCCCCTTGTTACTCCTTCAAATTTATGACCTCTTTTTTTCCTTTTCTGTTGTCCATGCCTCTTCTTGGCTTTCCCCCTTCTACTGTAGCATGTCTATTGTCTTTTTTCAGTTCCTCTTTGGGCAGTCATGTTCATGAGACTTCATGGAGGTAGTTTCTGATGTTACTAGGAAAATCTCACAGCATATTCCTTGATCCTCTGGCCCTTTCTGTCTTTGCTCCCCCTCTTCCACAATGCTCCCTTCACCTTAGGTGCAGGAGTTGATTTTCAGATGTATCCACTGAGACTGGGGTCTAAAATACTGTACTTTGATTGGTTGTGGTTTTCTGTAATGGTCTCTGTCTATAGAAAAGAGAAGTTTTCTCAGTGAAGGGTGAGGATTGCACCTCTCTGTGAGTGAAAGGGCGAACATTTAGAGTCTACTTAGGGATTATGCTAGTTTAGTAAAGTGGTGGCTGCAGATTCTCCTTGAAGACCCGTAACTTCACTAGCCCTGGGTAGTTCCCTAATACCAGGTATATGTTTTCCCTCTTGTTGAGCAAGTCTTAGTGTTTAGTCTAATCAGAGGGCTATTGGTTACACACAGTGTGTGCGCCACTACCCATAGAGTTACAGTGCTGCTCTGGCCACTGTTGGGATCCACAGGCGTCTATGAATCCTGCCTGGGTAGATTTTCATTGCTCATCTCCTCTGAATGCTTGCATGGTGTTTTCTGGTACCATGAAACCTAGTTCTCGGGGAGAAAGAATTCAGGTCAGTTCCAGCTCAGGAGACTCTGGGTTGAAACACACGGTGTCTTGAGCAATAGGGGCAACCTGCAGGGAAAAGGCAACCAAATGATGCTTTTAAAAAAAAAATATATATATATATATATATATATATATATATATATATATATATATATATATCCATTCACTGGGTACCTTAAATTCATCCATTCTGAAAAAAGAACTGACCTTCCTGCTTAACATCCTTCATCACATCGAATGGCTACAGCGTTTGCCAGTTGCTCACTTAGAAGCCTGATTTAGGAGACTTTCAAGTCCATGAGTTAGGAGACTTTCCCAATAGCTGTAGAATGTCACCTACTCTCCCTTCTCACTGTTACCATTCTCACTTAGGAGCTGGCTGAAACGGATAATATGTAATGTTAGAAGCCAATGGCTGAATCTACAATGTAAAATCTAAATGCAAAAATAATTTGCATCATTAGTTTATCATGCTGGAGTTACCAAGATAATCAAAATGGCCCCAAACAAAGACATCTGCTGTTAGGAATTGTGTGCCAGAACTCAACACAATATTGTTTTAAGCCTATAATTACCTGGGATGCTGAACTGATTTTTTTTATCTTATAATTTGGTGTCTAGTGACTTAAGTATCTGACTGTTAGAGAAAATCCCATTACTGTTTGGCAAACGATTCCAGCCTGGATTGATTAGCCATGAAATGAATGCAAGCACTCTGTGCAGTTTAAATATGCACTTAATAGTTTAAATATGAGATGACATTGACAGCTTTCCAAATAGTGCTGAAACCCTAACGAGCAATTCAGTAGCATCAATCAGTGTAATCCTTACAGAGTAACATCTCACAACCGTTTTTTTTCCCCCTTTCCATTTGTATCTCGACTATATTTTTAATTCTTCATTGTGATACCTCTTGGAACAATAGATACCACAAGTACTAGTTAAACTACAGTGACCATCAAAAGATCACTGACTAATTTCCTCTTCCAAAGCTTTTCATCTGAATGGAGACAATTCTTTTGGGTGGAGGTGAGAGCAAATTTGGGCAACAGTTATGACAACCGTGCTGTCTATACTCTGTGTGGAAACAATAACGTGTCTCTTGCGACCAGGAAGCAGCATTTTAAATATGGAAAATGCACATGTTGGAAACAGTGTGTCTAGGGCATTGCTTCAACAGACAACATACAAACATGCCTGCCAACACGCATGTGTGTGTGTCTACCCCATCAAATACATAAAACCTCCAGTAACTCACCTCTCTTGCTAAAAGCAATAGGAAACTGAACCACAGTTAATAGCTTTAAGAATGAGGTCCGGCCGCCCATGGTGCGGAAACCTACTACAGCCATTTACAAGGTAGCAGAGATACACTCTTATTTATTGTTGTGTTCTGGTTTAATTTTTGAATTGTTCAGTACGCACCGGACAATTTGTTCATTCGGCAAACGCATAAACTAACCTGCATAAAGTGATTTACAGATTAAATTATCTTTTTTCCATAAGAATAACAAAACGCTCCGAATTTAATAGCTGCATAACTCACAGATATCACAATACTCCGTCAGCTCTATAAAGTACCCCAACAATAAACAAAAATCACAAAACCTGCAGATACTTTAGATGGAGCCAAGGTCATAAATGCTGTCCTGGTCTTCTTTCTGTTGCTCTGATAAATGCCATGACCAAAAACAACTTGGTACAGTCATAACCCGGAGAAGTCAGGGCAGGAACCTGGAGGCAGGAACGGAAGTAGAAACCACGGAAGAATTTTGCTTTACTGACTGTCTTGCTCCCAGACTCATGTTCAGCTTGCCCTTCTTATACAGCCCAGGCCTCCCTGCCCGTGAATGTCACTACTCACAGCGGGCTGGGCCTTCACACATCAATCCTCGGTCAGGACAGTCTCCCACAGACATTCCAAAGCCTCATCAGAACAATTCTTCAGCAGAAGGCCTGTCTGCCCAGGTGTGTCAAGTTAATAACAAAACTAACAAAGACAGCTACCCATGATGATTCTGCCTGAGTTCACTGTGGTGATGTCATATAGCAGGGTGGTCCGAGCCAACACCTGGGAGGGCAAGGAAAACTCAGTGGACATCAATGGAACAGGTGATGGTTTTTATTTTCACTCTGACATTACCCGTCATCGCCTGACAGTACTCTCTCCGCGCACTAGGAGTCATTGTGAGCTGATATCATGGACCAGCTGGTGCGACTGATGACCTGAGTTCAATCCTGGGGTCCCATGTGATGGAAGGAGAGAAGTGACTCCCTCAGGTTGTACACTGACCCCCCCACACCTGCCCTCCACATGACCTTCTACCACACACTAAATGAGTAAATGTAATTTAAAAATTAGTGATTGTGTCAGACAACAGGGAATACAAATACGAGTCTCTGTGACAGCTACCACAGAAATTTATGGAAAAAAGAAACCCTGGGAGACATCCTCATTCTAGCTGGTGGGAGAAAGGTTGGCTTCCTCTGTACTTGAAGGTAAAGCGAGATATCCCCCAAAACAAGGCCAGAACAAGATGTTGTTACTCCATTTGTTCTCAGCACGGGTTAAGGCAAATCCTCCAAACCTCATCAAAGCCTGATGGCGTCTTTTTCTTACAAAAGAGAGTAATTAATTTCTGGAAAGTTTCTCCAAGCTCTCTTATCTTCATTACCACTGCTACCACTGGCATCCAGACTAACATTTCCCTAGACCTTTGAAAGATTCCCGATTGATATCTCCATCAATTTCCAATCACATCTCTACCGCTCTGAAGCTGACATCATCCCGGGAAGCTTCTCACCAAGCCTATCTTTCTGCTCAAAAATCTCTAATGAGACTCAAACAGTTACCACATCAGGCACAGATCCCCCAGCTAAGCATTCAGACCAACGAAAAAGGTGGCCAGTGTTTAGAAACAAAACAAAAACCAAAAGGCAATACCAGGCTCACAAATTCGTGAAGGGAAGGTCGGTGTGCTCCAAATGCAATTTCCCTCCAAACGAGTCCTTAAATGAAACACAGTCTCAATAAAGGCAAACTGTTTTTTTCATTAAACTTGACACATGAATTCGAAGTTCATAAACAGGAGCAAGAGGGCAAGAATATTAAAGATGATCATGGAAGGAGAAATAAATCAGGTGTAATATCTTACCTTACAGACGTTGAGATGATTTACGCTAAAGATACAATGTGGGCCGGAGGTGAGTCTGTAAGCAGGAGGGTGCTTGAGTCCGCAGCACCGCCATAATAAAGCCAGGCATGGCAGCTCCAGCCCCATGCAGGGGCAGAGACGGGACGTTCTCTGGAGTTTGCTGGCTGCCGCACTAGTTCAGTGGAAGACCCTGTCTCAAAAAATACATCAGTGACAAAGCGAGACACCCAACATCCTCCTCTGGCTTTATACATGAGTGTGTGTGTGCACGAACACACA